ATAAAATTTGGCGGGTCTCTTATTATAGCCGGTCTCTAATTTTAACCGGGTCTGTGACGCCCAGTTTTGGATTTTAGCCCCGGCTATAAATGGAGTATTTACGGTATATCAAACTTTAAAAAATTGTATAATAAATTCAATTAATGCGAAAATACACTTAGGGGTTTTTAAAATTAACGAGGGACGGCACTTAGGGCTTTTTAAAACTACGAAGCAGTTTCACTTAGGGTTATTTAAAATTAAGATGAGGCTGAACTTAGGGGTTTTTAGAATTAGGACGACGCTATGGCTTCCCTGATTTCACGGATTACGAGATTAATCCGGGAAATTCCAATCCGATCTAATAAAATCTTGGCCGAAAATTTAATGAAGAGTCGTAATAAATATGTAATTACGTCTAAATTCGACTCATAATGGAGGTCTCCTAACGAATGCTCCCAGATTTTGACCGAACTATTTATTGTCAAACGATCACAAATATAATTAGTATGCAATGGAACTATCTGCTAATGCGCATGTTTGACGGAGATATTTGCATAAATAGAGGAGAAGACGCATCCCCAAGGCTGGAAAATTTTAGGCTTTCGCAATTTGTTGTTTATTTTTCCAGCTTTGCATGCAAATATCTCAACCAAACCTGCGCATTGGCAGATAGTTCCATTTGCAAATTGCATACTAATTATATTTGTGATCGTTTGACACTAGTCTGGTCCATAGCTATGAGCATACGTTTGGAGACCTCCTTTGTCAGGTTGGAGGTATTCTAATCCCTAGAGTGTAACTGCATTGATTAAGACTTTGCGCGGGTTAGTTATATATGCAAATGCGTCTGAGGATGAATCACTGTTTGTACACCTATTGAAAAACATATGTATTAGGACATCATACTTATTTATTATTTTACGTAACCTTGCAATATGCAAATTAATCCGATAACTGCATACATCAGGAAATTTCGTAACGAATGGATTCACTGATTATAAAATATTGTAAAGGCAAATGTGTAGCGTTATGGAGATTATCTAACTGAAATCTTTATCCATTTTATTATCCCCAACATATTATATATTTTGTTTTTAAAATTTATTGCCAGGATTTCATCAAAATATAAAATTGGTGAACCGCACGGACCGATTGATCCCTTGTAAATAAGTCCGGTTTCGTAATATTTATAAGTTGGATTATCACCCATGTTGTAACTTATAATATATGCGTAAAGGTATGTTTGTATATATTTAAACTTTTTAAAAAAAATCTAGGGGATTACCTAATTGATTGAAAGCCCGTCGTAGCAGCCGTCAAAGCTCGCTTGCGTAACTTAATACATTACATATTTTACTATCATTTCGTGACTGTTATGATTCACAAGAAAGGAGACAAACTCAACCCACGCAATTACCCCCCCATTGCTGTTCTGTCATGTATCCTGAAACTTTTCACACACGTTCTACACACCCGACTGGCGGACTGGGCCACTAAATGTAACATTCTCCCCGAATCGCAGGGGGGTTTCCGAAAACAGCGTGGGTGCGACGACCAAATTTTCATCCTCAACACTGCCATTACGCTGGGAACACGATCCAAAAAGAAAGTGTATGCCTGCTTTTTGACTTCGCTCGGGCATTCCCATCCTGTCCCCATGACAAGCTTTGGGAAAAACTCCATAGTATTGGGGTTTCGGCCAAATTCATACGACTCCTCAGGAAAATATACGAAAAATCCGCAACCCAAATTCGTCTTCAGGATGGATTCTCCGACCCTATCGACATCACCGAAGGTCTGGCTCAGGGCTGCATTTTGAGCCCTTTGCTTTTTTCCTTTTACACCTGTGACATCGAAAAAACCCTCCAAGATCACGACGTGTCGGGCGTTCAAATTACCCTGCCACTGGTCCTCCATATCCTTCTCTACGCGGACCACATGATCGTCATGAGCGCTACCCCTGAAGGGCTGCAAATGAAAATCCGCCGACTCGAGAAATATTTTGACCTTCTGGCCCTGAAGGTGCACATGGACAAAACCAAAGTTATCGTCTTCCGCCGTGGAGGAAGGATCAAATCAGGACTCCAATTCAAGTACAAAGGCGAACCGATTGAAATTGTCAAGTCCTACACGTACCTCGGTGTCCCACTCTCCTCCTCTGGCTTGTTCCACGTCGCCGCGCAACATTTCCGTAAAAAGGGACTCACAGCACTGGGCAGTACTTGGAATATTTTCGTTAAATCCCGACTGGAACAAATGAGCAAACAATACTCCCTCTTCCAAGCCCTCGTCTCCTCAACCGCCCTATACGGGGCACACATATGAGCCCTGCGCTACTTAGACGAACCAGAAAAAATCCAGTATCAATTCCACCGCCGTATACTGGGACTCCCTAATGGCACCCCAAGCTACGCCCTCCGCCTTGAACTCAACCGAACATCCCTAGCATTTAACATCCTCAAACAAGCACTTCGCTACTTATGGAAATTGCTATCCCACACAGAGGAAAGATACACTAAGCAATGCTTAACTGCGCTCCAAGAAACAGCATCGTACGGCACCGTCTCAGACTCATACAATTGGTTTCAGCAACTAGTCGCCATCATTCTGAAATGTGCACCCAACCTCTCAATTAAAGAACTTACACAAGCAACCCTAACCGCCGCAACCCCTGGCATCCTTGATGCACTCATACTACAGCAGCGAGAGGCGGACCTTCACCGAGTAACACAATCAGAGCGATTTCAATACTACTCCGCTCTTACCCCGTCACACAACACTGCTGCTCCTTACACGGATATATGCATTCCACTCCATGCCAGACGACTCATTGCCCAATGCAGACTCTGCCAAGGCTCCTTCTATACAATGTTGGGATATGTACGCATTAACTACCGGTCAGTCTGTGACATATGCAATAAGAATGAGGAAAACACACTGTGGCACATTCTTTGCAGCTGCCCTTTACACAATGAAGCCAGAGCTGCATTTTTCCGAGACAGACAAATTCCACTGATGCAAGATATTTACACCATCTTCAATCCAACCTCTAAATCAGAATGTCTCAAGCTCTCCCGATTTGTAAACACGTGTATCATGCAAATCCAAGAGCTTCCGCAACATAAAAACACTCTCTTTCCATTCACAGCGTATCATTTGGCAATAAGACTCGCCACTTGTAACCCGATCTGCGATCCAATCGCTCAGCCAGCCACCCTCATCCCATCCACGCTCACTTACTCCCGCACGTGCAGACTCGAGAAATGAACTTCACCACCATCATCCTCATCTCTGTAGTGGGGATCCTCGGCCCAGCTCACTGCTTCCCATACGGCCAACTAGCAAACGTCATCAAAGGTGGCCTCGGTGTCAGCGATTTCATCTCACACGTCCGCAATACAGTGGGACAAGCCCCAGACTTCACCACGAAAAATGGGTTCGATTATTCCAACGTCTATAACTCCATTCTCCAATACTCCGTCCTCAACGCTTACCTGGAACGTGAAAATCACAAGCTACTTACCCAACAAGGGGAGCACCAGGTCCAAGTCCACAACAGCATAGAAAAATTTAATATCACCCAAACGATCTGCCTCATCGCCCTCCTACTATTCACTCTTATCCTGGTCTCCATCGGGGTCATCCAAGTCCGCCGAATGCCTACACCTAAACGACGAAACCGTAATGACATTGAAGACTACTGACGCCCTCCGCCCCTTCCCCCTCGCCCCCAACCCAACGCGACTCCGCCAATGCAGCCCCGCCCCGCACTCTCCCAATCTCCCCCGGCCTCTTCTACAGCACACTCTCCTCGCCCAGATGACACCTCTAACCCACATCCAACCCTTCAACTTTGTAACCAACTGGTCAACCACTATATCATGTAACACACTTAGTCAAATCTATGCAATTTTCCAAGAATCCTTTAAATTTTCAAATGCTCTATTTTTCCACCGTCTCTAAATTTTCTGAACTACACTGGAACACTAAAAACTATTTATTACTATTATTTAATTTATTTGAACTCATGATAACATACATATGCTTGTATATGACTGTACCTTCATGGGCCCGTAAGCGGCCTCAAAAGGATAGAAATAAATATTCATTCATTCATTCATTCATTCATTCATATTTTACTACCATTTTAAGCTATAAGGGAAAATAAACCCTTAGAACGCATGCAACCAATGGGTGAAAGAAGTGTGTCAAAGTGAATATCATATTGTTTTCGAAAATGTGTTGCAACTGATACTTCTGACGTGTTTTCGACGTTTGTATCTCATGAGATGTGTCACAGATGATAACATTTATTTGACCTTTCGTGACTTTGGAGGTCAAAATGTGGCTCACCATTGAATTTGTGGTTAAAATTCCTGTTGAATTCATGTATACATATATGCAATGTGGCCTTTAAATGATATTTTGTGACCTTTTGACTGAAGGATGTGACCTACAGTGTCCATCTTCGAACTTGTCCTGTCCATTCCAGTTAGGAGTTTATGTTCCACATTTCAAGTCTATGTCTTTCCGTTCAAAAAGTTATCCGAGCTACGGACAGACGGACGGACGTACGGATAGACAAATCGATCTTATTAAGGGCTTTCACGCCTTAATAGAATTTACATATGTAGGCACAAAACCAAATATTGGTCACGATACTCACCGTACGTCGCAAAAAGCTGTAATCCGTACATGTACAAAACGAATTATTCCACTTAAAAACTTTCAATTTGACATTAAATACTTATATTTATTGCCATGTCGTAAATTACGACTCGTAATCATTAAACGAAGTGTTGTAATTACATAAATGCAGCATTTTACTAGGAATTGTTTTCGACATAATTAAATATTTACTGCGATCCGGAATTAAGTTTTCGGCACACATTTTATTAGATCGTCTTTTTTAGGATTATGTACATGCTTCATAATATCAGCAAAATTTCGCGTTTCATAATGAACTTGCATGCATATAAAACCAGAAAGTTTAACGGGTTTTACTCACATCAAGGAAGACCCCTGCTTAAATACAAATACATAGCTGCTTAGTTTGAAGGATTTAACAAAGTTTCCAAAAGCTGAAAACACTGTTAAAAATGAAAATATTGATCTTATTCCTTTCCCTTTCGGTGGCGTTTGGACAAGATGTAAGTTTCATAGTTCAATTTTATATCATTTCGCCCGACTGATAACTTATGTTCCCGTTTTGACTGTCTGTCTGTTTGTCTTCGAATAACTGCATACATATATTTGAATTTTTCCTATCAGATTAAAATGTTGCATAATATGCAACATTTTATGTGTACTGTTGTTACATATGTATGTATGTACGTATTCTAAAATATGCGGTAACATAATGAAAAATTGTGTCACATATACCTACGGCTACAATTACAGACCGGCGATAAGTGCTTGTAAGGTTATGTTTGTGATGTTATAATTTGAGAAATTTTTAGCAGATTAATTATTAAGGTTCGTGCAGGCTATTTTGCTTTAAAGCAAAATAAATAATGTTTGAATGATAGGCTGACAATATATGAAAAAAACATAATTAGAGAACCGGGTGTAAATACTTGGAGGCTAAGTAGGTTAAATTTCTAAGCTCCTAGCTGTTTCGATATAAGTAATCAAAGCATGCTAATTTTAATTGAGTACCATGGTCTGAACGTTAAAAGAAGAGGCCTGTACGTCACAAGCTTTGCTTCTCCTTATAATGTTCACACCTTAGAATCCCTAAAACCAGAGAAGGAGGACCGGGTAGTCCTGCTTACTGATCGGAAAATTTCAAGCCAAATAATAAAAAATTGATATTATCTGTAATATCAGTTTTCAATATTTAATTTGATCCAGTATTTCAATATGTACACTCGTTAATTAACGAGTGTAACCATTTGGTGCCAAACATAAGTTATTCGTCCAAAATTCATGCTATCCTCGGTCGGGCTCGCGAAAGCCAAAGGTTATAACAATTTATCTAAGCTTTCAAACTTTAAATTTTAAGATGGAATACCAATCCCTGGGCGCCTGTACCGGGGATCTAGTCGCAGAATACGGGGAAAGAGAGTCGTTCCGAGCATTTCAAGAAGGGAAGATCGAGGACAGCATCCCGGCCGCGATAGACGAGCTTTACGGCACGAACAAAACCGAGGTTGAGGAGACGAAGCAAGCTTACTCCGAGTTTCAGGACGAACTGGCCGTGAACCGGGAGGCCAACGAGGCCTGGAACATTGTCGCGAGGGGAAAAGGAGAAAACATGGAGGTCGTGATGGACGCCGGCTTCCGGTTGGACGCCATGCTGGGCGGAGAGGAGAAGGGAATAGTTTCTGTCAGATTCTGGGGCTGGTTGAAAAGGAACTGTAAAAAAATTGTTAAAATAGTTATTATCGTGGTGCGAGCTTTTTTGAAATTCTTGATTGGGTGATTGTACAAATCAGATTTATGCATCTATATTATAATTTCGAAAAGTCCGTCCCGTGGAATTTTCCGTGACATCCCTGCATTCTGATTGGCTGTTGAAATTCTGGCTCCACCAATCAGGGAAGATTCTATGTTTGAATATGATTTTGAATATGATTTCGGTTACGATTTCGGTTATGATTTAGGTTATGATTTCCGTTATGATTTCGGTTATGATTTCGGTTATGATTTCGGTTATGATTTCGGTTATGATTTCGGTTATGATTTAGGTTATGATTTCGGTTATGATTTCGGTTATGATTTAGGTTATGATTTAGGTTATGATTTCGGTTACGATTTCGGTTATGATTTAGGTTATGATTTCGGTTATGATTTCGGTTATGATTTCGGTTATGATTTCGGTTATGATTTAGGTTATGATTTAGGTTATGATTTCGGTTATGATTTAGGATATGATTTTGAATATGATTATGAATATCATTATGAATATGATTATGAAAAATTTCCTTACCAACATTACCAAATTCCCCTATGGTTCATCTATTAAAACCGCAGCATTTTCCTATTCAATTTTGCTGAAACGAGTTGGCCCATGCTTATAAGCATTGGAACTTTGATTGTCAGCCATTCATGCAATTCTCCATGGATTTTCAAAATTAAACATGTTTTGGAAACATCTGACCCTTCCCTACAATATATAATTTCAAATTTTTAAAATTTGACCTACGTGACCTGAAATCAAGGTCACAAGGTCAAAAAATGAGAATATTTGCAAAGTCCTTAAAAATGTGACTTCGCAAATTTGATTCGAAATTTAAAAGTCAGGCAACTCAGGGGAGTGGCAAAACATTACCCTCTGGTCATTCTAAAAATTGAGGGTGTGGCAGGGGGTGTGGGAATATTGAATCAGGTTTAAATTATTAGAGTTTTAACACCTGGGACCGTTAGAAATATCAGTATCCAATCAGGGTCACCCCCCTCAGCAATGGTTACATTATCACATTAAAATCTTCAATCCCAACCCACAGGGGGTGCGCCCATCAGCGTTTTTGTGGTTAATCATCTTAAGTACATTGCGCGACACAAATAATTTATTGTAACGGAATGGGGACCCCAATGGTCCCATCATATCACAAAAAAACACACCAAGGTTAAAATCTTGAATCCCCACCCACAGGGGGTGTGGTTATCAGCGGTTTTGCTATCTTTTCGAGAAAGCATGTCGTGTGACATATCGTTTTGACCAGAAACATGAAGGCAACTTAAAAATAGAATTGAAGTTACCAAAATCACACCCCCAGGTGGGTGTGGCTTTTAGCGCTTTTGCCATCTTGTCGAGAAAGCATGTCGTGTGACATATCGTTTTGACCAGAAAGATGAGGGCAACTTAAAAATAGAATTGAAGTTACCAAAATCACACCCCCAGGTGGGTGTGGCTTTTAGCGCTTTTGCCATCTTGTCGAGAAAGCATGTCGTGTGACATATCGTTTTGACCAGAAACATGAGGGCAACTTAAAAATAGTATCGATGTTACCCAAACCACACCCCCAGGTGGGTGTGGCTTTTAGCGCTTTTGCCATCTTTTCGAGAAAGCATGTCGTGTGACATATCGTTTTGACCAGAAACATAAGAACAACTTCATCATAGAATCGAATTTACCCAAACCACACCCCCCAGTTGGTGTGGCTTTTAGCGATTTCGCCATCTTTTCGAGAAAGCATGTCGTGTGACATATCGTTTTGACCAGAAACATGAGGGCAACTTAAAAATAGTATCGATGCTACCAAAACCACACCCCCTGCTGGGTGTGGCTTTCGCCGATTTTACCATCTTTTCGAAAAAGCACGTCGTGTGACATTATTTTCATCAGAAACATAGTGGTCATTTTACAAGCGACCAAAACCACACACCAGTGGGTGTGGCTTTAGGCGTTTTTTAATCAGTATTCTAGCAAAATATCTCATGCAACCCCAATAATTTACGGGTAAACAAAAGTGATCTACGGTATAGGCCGGAAGTCTTTCCACCCTCGTAATTTTTTCACTTAAAGCGTTATGTTTCTCGAGAAGCTTGAGGAAATTAACTGCAATTTTGCACAATTACTTATCATGATGCAAGGTTTTCGGAACCATACTTTGGATAACGGCGTGACACAGGGAACGACAGGGTGAAATTATATACAAAAGTCCGACTGGAAAAAAGTCTTTCCACCCAGACTTAAGTTTAATGCAACATTCATTTTAAATTTTTGTTGGTTATGTAATAGTCAAATTATCATTTGCAATGTTCACCCAGGTCCTCTAGGAAGGCAATGACACCTCTAGGCATCAACACAAAAATTAAGATTGTGTATAAGGTGTCTAAATTCTCCAATTCAAATTTAACGACTTCGCCCAGTCCACTCGGGTTTGACAGTTTTTGCTACGAAATCTTAGGCTTCATAATTGACAACAAATGTTCATTAACATTCCGTCCGGTGATATTAGAGTACAATCCAACAACTAAATCTCGTTTGTCGTAAATCTACTTCTCAAAAACTTTGATCTATGCTTAAATTCACCATTCTGTTTGAAATAAAATTGTCACCACGCGGTTATTTCTCGCGTCACCATCAAATTCGAACCCCTAATGTCGCAACAGCAGTTGGGGTCCATGCTTCCTTTGATTATCTCAAAATTTCTGATGCCCTTCTACGACATTCACGCCCATACGTTTCGGTTTCCACCCCCATGCTTAATGGTTTATTTATGGTACTTAGTTTTGTCTGTATCTCCTGGGCATCTCCTTATCCGAGTGACCCGATCTGAACCAAACAAGTTGGTCTTGGTCTAGTCGCTCCATGTTGTACATTTCCAGTCTTGAATGTATCAATTTCGTACTTTTTAGCCAATTTCATAACCTTGGTCATATGGGCCTAGGAAATAAAAGTTTTTTCCGCACTGCTGGGTCTTCAAATCCAACTTATTCTACTTAATTCTTTACAGTTCGCACAGAAATTTGAAGGTCGTAGTCTTCCTTCGTTTCCAGTTAGTTTTTGGTGCTGCAGCCGAGGGTTTAGCTGAATTGAGGAGAGGATGGCGTGATCGATCCTTGGGGCCGTAATGCTTGGCGGTCCATAAGCTAGGAATTTCGTCGCCGTACAAATTTTTTGTATTTTTGGACTATTCTGCCAACTATGTACTTCTTCACGAGTAGTTTATTGTAAATCGTTTGGTATCGAAACCCCTCCTCACGAAATTTTACGACGTCTTGCCCAAGATCTGTGACAAGGCGATTTCCTCTCATTATGAGCTTATATTGATCACAATCAATAATTTGAACATGATACAAGCGTTATTTTTTAAAGAATGATATATCCCGTACTGGGTGGAGAACAATTTTCAAGAATGTTTTTAAGAATTACACAAAAACAACGAAAATGTCAAAAGGTGGAAAGACTTTTTTCCAGTCGGAATTTTGCATATAATTTCACCCTGTCGTTTCCTGTGCCACGCCGTTATCCAAAGTATGGTTCCGAAAACCATGCATCATGATAAGTAATTGTGCAAAATTGTAGTTCATTTCCTCAAGCTTCTCGAGAAATATAAGACTTTAAGTGAAAAAATTATGAGGGTGGAAAGACTTCCCGCCTATACTGTAAAGGATCACATCCAATTCCTAATAACCACACCCAAAATTGGGCGTAAATTTGCATCCTTTTTTGGGCGGGGCGCATTTAAACAAACATTTCGCGTCGCGGCCCAAGTTTCGATGCTACACGTCGCGTTTCTGAATAACATTTCGCAGATCGTTCAACTTCAGTAGTATGAACGTGTAATTGATAGTGTTAACTTGAAAGCAAATTTTTGAAAGTAAATTTTAATGGGATCCTCTCAAGAGGTTAACCCGGAGTGAGTTGTCTGCGGTGCCTATTTTGCACGGTTTTTCGGCGGCGAGTTAAGTACTACCGGCATGCAATCGGCGAGATTTACCTCTGCCGGTTTAAACATATGATTTAAGTTAAATTTCTAAATAGTAATATTATTCTTAGTATATAAATATATTATAAGCTTATATATAAATATATAAGCTGACGACTATTACCGAAATTTATCAAAACGTTGGGAAATTAATATCAATTTTCCACTTAACACGAATTTCTACAATAACTATTCACCCAAATTGTTTTAATTGTAAAATCGTGGAAGGTTGTTCAATTTGTAATTTTTTAAATTATGGCATGTCTAAACTTGTACACATTTATCATAGTACCGAATTCCTTGAATTCCTTGATTTTTCCAATGATTTTTTGAGTGATTGCATATGTACAAACCACACCCACCTGGGGGTGTGGTTTGTATGCGATAGGAGGTAATCATCGAGGTCCCCATTCCATTCCGATAAATTATTCGTATCACATGACCTATGTTATTAGTTGCTACCAAAAGCGTTGAAAGCCACACCCACCTGGGGGTGTGGTTTAGGTAAATTCGATTATATGATTAAGTTGTTCTCATGTTTCTGGTCAAAACGATATGTCACACGACATGCTTTCTCGAAAAGATGGCAAAAGCACTGAAGGCCACACCCACCTGGGGGTGTGGTTTTGGTAACTTCAATTCTATTTTTAAGTTGCCCTCATGTTTCTGGTCAAAACGATATGTCACACGACATGCTTCCTCTAAAAGATAGCAAAACGGCTGATAACCACACCCCCTGTGGATGGGGATTCAAGATTTTAACCTTGGTGTATTTTTTGCGATATCAGGTGACCATTGGGGTCGCCATTCTGTTACAATAAATTATTTGTGTCGCGCAATGTACTTAAGATGATTAACCACAAAAACGCTGATGGGCGCACCCCCTGTGGGTGGGGATTGAAGATTTTAATGTGATAATGTAACCATTGTTGAGGGGGGTGACCTGATTGGATACTGATATTTCTAACGCTCCCAGGTGTTAAAACTCTAATAAATTAAACCTGATTCAATTTTCCCACGCCCCCTGCCACACCCACAATTTTTA